GCTCATAAGGTATCCATTCTTAAATTCTATTTGGAAGAGATGAAAGTTGTTGTTTTACAATTATTGCATTCTCTTGATTCACCAAGTTTATGAATTGCATTCATTAATTCAAAATCATAAATAAGCTTTTCTTTACAAAATTCATTTTCATTTTCTAACTGTTCTTTGTTTTCTTTGACTAATTGTAAAAAATAACTTTTTCTATTTTCATTATCAGAATTAGAATTAGTTGGAAAAACAGAATAAGCAATAAGATTCATTTCGTTATGATTTTAAGTACTATCCCTTTTCTGTGTTAATAACTTAATGAAGGACATTTTAACATTTTTAATTTCTTTTTTGTGGTATTTTATTTTTAATTTGCAAATCAAAAATTATTAAATTTTTTTGTATTCCTTTAGCATTATAGATGCTTAAATTTCTCTTTCATAATTTTCACATTCCTAATCATTTGGAATCTTGGAAATTTTCTTAATTATAAATGAGTGTGCTAGACTGGAATGAAAGCAAAAAAAGAATCCAAATGCAAATTTCATAACAAAATCTTTTACACTTTGACATGTTTTTTTCCTTGTTTTATTTAAAATATTTGATTTCAAATTCAGTCAAACTTTCTTATCCATCCTCACCATCTTTATCCCTTGATTTTGGACTTTAAATGATGAATTAGTAATCAATCATCTGGAATACAACAATACAATCAACTTCAAGAAGAATTTATGAAAAATGAAATGTAGTATTGTTCATTTCACATTTAACATTTTAACATCAGGAAAATTATTCTGAATTGAAGAAATCAATCAAATTTATATTTGAATAATAAATATAAAAGATAACAAAAATAATTAATTATCTAACCATCAACAATACACCTAATTCTCCAACTTAACTACTTTAATCATATTTAAATTAATTAATTAACCAACTATTTAAATTTCATAATTTAATAAGCTATCATTACTTAAATTCAATTTAGCAAATTCATCATTTAATATTCTACTTGTATGATATGCTAATGGATGTGATTTGTGTACTTGTTGTGAATCACTACTAATACTAATAATGCTATTATTATCATGATTATTATTGATAATTTCTTTTTGTTGATTATCAGCAAATTTACGAAGTTCTCCAATAGTTGGTCTCTTGGCTGCATCCACATCCCAACACCTTTGCATCATTTGTGCATAATCACTAGGCATTCCTGGTAATATTGGTGGTCATAAACCTGCACATATATTAGACATTAAGTCACGATTATGAGCTCTATCATCAAATGGTGGATGACCTGCAAATATTTCCCACATTAACATCCCAACACTATAGATATTTGTTTCTTTTGTGTATTTTTTTCCTTTAAATAGTTCTGGTGCAATATAAGATACAATTCCATAAATTTTATTTGATGATTCTTCATCAACTGGTCCACATAATCCTAAATCTGTGATATAACATTCACCCTGAAATAATATATTACCACTATGTAAATCACAATGAATTAAATCTTTTTCATGTATAAAATATAATGCTTCACATAAACCCCTAAAAATATTAATTCTATCTTTTAATGTTAAATTATAATGATTTTTTTGTATATAATCTCTTAAATTTCCATCTAATACATAAGTAAGCACCATTGCATAATTTCCATTTTCTGGGAATTTAGTTATACCATCACAAGAAACAATTGAGTTTGATTTAATTTTACAATAATTCAATGCCTGAAATCAATTATATAAATAAAATTAATTAATTTAAAATAAATGGTTTATTTTAAATAAGATCAATTACCTCATCAAAAAAAGCTTTTCCTGGATTACCTGAATTATTTAATGATTTTAATACTACAAGATGAGTCCCAAAATAATTAAACTCCTTTTATTTTCATCATAATCATAAATATCTCCTCTTGTCCATGTAGCAGTATAAATAGAACTGAATCCACCTTCTGTTAGTTTTTCTACATCATAAAATTGTTCATGAGGTATCCATTCTATAATTATAGCTGGAAGAGATGAAAGCTGCTGACATTTTTGAATAAAACCATCAATTATCTCATTGCCAGATGTCCAAGTACTGAAAAGGCTCTGTAAGTGTAGACTAATACACTTTTCACAAAATTTATCAGAGTATCTTGTTGTTTTACAATTATTGCATTCTCTTGGTTCACCATATTTATGAATTGCATTTTTTAATTCGAAATTATAAATAAACTCTTCTCTACAATATTTCTTTTCATTTTCTGATAGTTTTTGGTTTTCTTTGACTAATTGTAAAAAATAACTTATTCTATTTTCTCAGAATTAGAAGTAGTTGGAAAAGCAGAATGAGCAATACCATTCATTTCATTAAAAATTTTATATACTAAATTTTCTCTGCCTGGTGTTAATAACTTTTTGAAGGACATTTTAACTTTTTAATATTTATATTTTTAAAAAAAAAATTTCTTTTTTGTATTTCTTGCAAATCGAAATTTACCCAATTGTTTCTCAATTTCATTCGGAGTCTTGGGAATTTCCTTAATTAATACAGTATAAATGAGTGAATAAAAAAAAAAAAGTAAATCCGAATGCAAATTTCATAACAAAATCTTTTACACTTTGACACGTTTTTTAGATTGTTTCATTTAAAATACTTTGATTTCAAATTCAATTAAAACTTTATATTATCCATCCTCGCCATCTTCATCCCTTGATTTCGGACTTTAAATGATGAATTGGTAATCAATCACCCTGGGACACAACAATACAATCAACTTCAAGAAGAATTTATGACAAACGAAATGTAATATTGTTCATTTTACATTTAACATTTACTCTGAATTGGAAAATTTATTTTTGAATAAAAACAAAAATAAATTTAAAAGATAATAAAAAATAATTATCTACCCATCAACAATTCTCCGACTCTAACCTATCAACTAAATCATATTTAAATTAATTATTTCATAATTTAATAAGCTATCATTACTTAAATTCAATTTAGCAAATTCGTCATTTAATATTCTACTTGTATGATATGCTAATGGATGTGATTTGTGTACTTGTTGTGAATCACTACTACTACTACCAGTAGTATTATTACTATTGTTACCACCACCACCAATACTATTACTACTCTCAGTTTTAGATTTATTATGAGAAAATTTCCAAAGCTCTCCAATAGTTGGTCTTTTTGCTGGATCCACCGCATCCCAACACCTTTGCATCATTTGTGCACAATCACCAGGCATTCCTGGTAATATTGGTGGTCATAAACCTGCACATATTCTCAATTGCAAATAAAAATCATGTGCTTTGTCATCAAATGGTGGATGTCCTGCAAATATTTCCCATATTAAACATTCCAACATCATAAACATCCGATTCTTTTGCGTTCTTTTGTATTAATTCTCCCTCTAAGTAGCTCAGATGCAATATATGACACAATTCCATAGATTTTATTTGATAATTTTTCATCAACTGGTCCACACAATCCTAAATCCGCGATATGGCCATCACCTTCATCCATCAATATATTACCACTGTGTCCTTCTCCATGTATATAAGATAATGCCTTACATAAATAATTAAAAATATTAATTAATCTTTTAATGCTAAATTTGGATGATTATTTTGTAAATAAAAATAAAGTTAATTAATTTAAAATAAATTGTTTAATGTTCAGTTTATATTAAACAAGATAAATTCCTGAGATTTTCCCGGATTGCTTGAATTATTTAATACTAATTCATGAGCTCCATAACAACCAAATTTTATCAGCGCTTTGATGGATTTCCATTTAACAAAATTACTCCTCCCGACCAGTCACCACTCACACGTCAATATCGAAAATTTCTACTTTAAAAAAACATTATCTTTCCCCTTACTATCATTTATTATTGATACGAATATTTTTTCATAAAAATCGTAATTTTTCTTTGAATTTTCTTCAGCTAAATTGATATGAATCGACATGATAAAGAAATCCTTAAGATTAAAGAAAAGTAGTTAAATTTTTTTTTTGAGAAAGAAACTTCAAACCAATCAGAGTGGGAAATGTGCAATCAAAAATATCGTAACGTGATCCCATGTTAAGTGCTGTAGACGTCACGGCTACTTTTTCGTCACGATAAATGTTTTTAAGAGCTGAAATTACTCTTGTTAATAGAAATTTTTTGCCAGTCCCTAATACAATAATAAATATCATCATAAAAACAATGAGAATGATAATAATTATAAAAATATATGATAGGAATAATTTACCTCCTGCTCGAGTGAAAAGGATGTTTTGTTTTTGACAAGCAATAGCGTCAAAAATTGATTCTTGTCGTCTGATAATTATCACTATTGTCATTCGTTTCTCTAAGCAAGCACAGGAAGTCAAGTCTTTAATCTGGCTACGTACCAAATATATAAATTAATTAATTTATACAAATTAAAATTTTTTTCCAGTTGTTAATATTAATTTAATTAGAAAACAATAATATATATTCTACAAAATTGTAGGGGTAAGCAAACAAAAACAAATGCCCAACTACAACTGTGTAGACGAATTTTGGTTTCTTTCCATCATTTATCCTGTGTTAACGAAGACTTTTTTAAAAAAATTAGAGAGATGTAAGCACGTAAAAAAAGCGTGACATCATAGCATTCACTTTGATTTTTTGACCTAATGCTTCTCAAAACATTATTGATAATAAAATTCAGTTGGAGGAATTAGCGGGCGTTAAATATTAATATGGTCAACAACATCAGTATATATATATATAATCAACATAAACATTTTAAAAGACATGTATGTATTAAACAACAAAAGATAAGTCATGCCTTACTTATTTTAATATGAATATAATTAAATAAGATAAAAACCACCAGAGTAATTACATGGGAGGAAAATATTCAGGCCCAAAACCATTGGATGCTACACTATTATCACTACTAATAAGATCTTCTTCGCCTTTTATATATCATTTTTTCTTTATATCATCCACGATTTCTTATTTTCTATCCATCATTGAATCACTTTGATGGTTTTCTTTTTGGAATTAATTTTGTAAAAGCTTTTGCAGTGGAGGCAGCAACATTTTTTTTTTCTCCGAATAACTCGTGGATATCAGTTACCTGAACTTGAAACTATTTTTTCATTGTCAAATTGCAAGGCCTTGTCACCATGTGTCTTTGAAAAGGAGTATGTCCATTATACCCATTTTGCCTTATTTGATGATGACGATGATATATCTCTTTATATGCTATTGTTAGAAAGAACAATTTTGTATTTATCCAAAAAAAAAATTATCATAGCGAAATAATCCACATGTTGCTATCGATCACCAATTCAATCGGACAAATTTCATAATGATCTAGATCATTACTGTAATTTCTATTGGGTATTTTTTAAAAAAATCGAAGGCCATCACCATCATCACGGTCGATAATTAAAGAAGTACAAAGAGGAAAAGAAGCAAAGATTTAAATTAATTAACCAAAAGTAGTTAGGGTTTTGCATGAATAATAACACAAGGATTACAGTAAAACATGTCAACATTTTCCTTATGGATGATGCAATATAACACAACATAATTAATCATATTCTTATACAAGATAATCCTACACATATTTATTTTCTTTTTCTTAAACTATAAAGATTTATATACATGGACAATAATTAAAAATGCCCACATAAATGCTTTTCTTTAGTGAATTGGCATCACCTAATTCATTTGGGAAAAAACTAATTAATAAAACTAATTAATAAAGAAATAAATTTATCCCTGGAATTTTTCTAATAACATAAAATTTAATGAATACTAATTAGCAATGATGATGGTAATAAGATCAAGAAATTATCGCCCAATTAATCTAAATACTAATACTATTATTATCTGTCAACTTTTTTCTGATGTGATGCCTCGCGATAGTAAAAAAATACTTTAATTTTATGTTATTGTTATAACAATCAAGTTGATCAACTTGATATTGCAATATCATCATTTTTTTGAAATGATCAATTTGACCTGCTGAAAATCTGAATTATATATATATATATATGTAACTTCTCAAGTAATAGTATTTAAACAAATCATTCCAAAAATAAAGTATAATATATAGGCGTAATTTTAATTAAATAAATTAAATAATTAAAAAAATACAATAAAAATATAGTCATGATAACTTAATTATGATAATATATTCATTTAATTTATTAATTAATTTGTGACATTTCATTAAAATCTCATTAATCTCCTGGTTCCTAACTAAACTTTAAAATCCCAAATTCTAATTTCTTTGTCATCACTGCCACTAATAATTTTCGTGTCGCTCAATGCGACACATGTCACTGGTTGGCTATGTCCTTCCAGGGTGTGTAAATCATATCCAGTATCCTTATCCCAAATCTTCACCAAATTATCTTGTGAACCACTCACTAACCTCAATCTATCTAATGCTAGAGTCCAAACACCTTCAAGATGACCAAATAACGTTTTACAACATTTTCCCGTTTGAAAACACCAGATTTTTATTGTATTGTCGAGCGAACCCGACACAATAATAGGTAAATCTTCGTTTTCATGAACTCCTCCGTCGCATCTTTGTACATCAATGCTATCACCGTCGTCATCATTATTATTACTACCATCATTATTATTGCTTTCTTGATGAACTGAAGAAAACATTTTTGAAAACATCGATAGGGAGGCAAATTCTATCGACGGTACTTGTAATCTATGCCCCGTAAATACTCGCACACAAGATTTTGTTGGTAAATCCCATACTCTTATCGTACAGTCATCTGACGAAGATAAGACTTGTGACTGTTTGTAAATTATAACACAGTTTACACGATCCGTGTGGCCTCTCAGGGCATACTGTTCGCATGATGTAAAATCCCAGACCCTAACCGTCCAATCGGCTGATCCACTAGCAAGTATCCGTTCATTGAAATGTATAGAATTAACTCCATCCGCGTGTCCACAAAACGTCCTGATACACTGCCCCGTCTTATAATTCCATAATTTTATCGTATGGTCCAAAGAGCCTGTTATAAGCTTGACATCATCGAATTGTAGTGTTTTGACACAATTCAGATGTCCTGTGAGTATACGCACAGTTTCTCCTTTTTCAATATCCCATATTCTAACAGTTGCGTCATAAGACCCACTAATTAGAATATTCTTCTCATCGTTGAACTGTAGGCAGGTTACCCCGTCTCGATGTCCTTTCAACACACGGGCATTATACATACCTTTTCGCCAGTTTCTTTCAACGGCAAGACGCTCTGAATAGATTTCTTTCCAGGGTTTAGTGGTTATTACTTGACAATTATTATTGTTATTATTATTATTATCATCATCTGAATATAACAGCGCAGACCTAAGTGATGCTGTGCACAAACGTTTTGTGTCTCTTTTTATACTATCTGATGTTGATGTTGATGTTGATGTTGATGTTGATGTAAGTGGAACAGAAGAGCATGATGTCATTACTAAGTTATTATTATTATTGTTATCGTCATCTAAAATATTTAAATGACGAGTAGATGATGATGGTGGTGATGATGGCGATGATGGCGATGAAGGTGATGGTGATGGTGACGGTGATGGATTTTGAAGGATTCTTCTTCTATTCATATGTTTTCTTTTTTCCAATAAAGGAAGTCCCCAACCACATTTATAACATTTTTTATCAATGTGTTGTTCACATAATTTATGCCACACCTGATCATCATCAGCTAATAATTTCCATGGTTTGGAAACTTGAGCTGCATGACACAGCGAGGTTGCATCCAAATAAGAAAGAATATGAAGTGAGAGTTCCTCTGGAAGGTGGGCAATAAAATCTATTCGATTCAAATCCTCTAATCTATTTGAAAGAAATGATAATTGTGTTGAGCAGCATTGGTGCAATAAACCTTCTAAAGCAATATTTCGACTTTTTAAAGAAAGTTTAGAAAATAATGATGATATTTGTTCAATTGTTTGTTTTTCTTGTGTTGGCATCTTATTATATGATTAAAAATAGGATAATAATTGATTTTATGTATATATAAAATAGTATAAAGTGGTACTTAAGATGGATAAATTAATTAATTACCTGTTGTAAATTTTCAAGCATGGTAGATTCATTAGAATTCATAGAATTTCTCTTTAGATCTAATTTATGTCTATAACAATAATACCTTTTATTAGTATTAATGTTATTGTTGTCATTTTTTTGTAAAGTGTGTAATTGTGAGTAAGGCATTATTTTTATTTTAAAATTTTTTTTTTTTAAATTTTTTTTTTATATAAACAAAATACACACATACATGACTTAATATTTGCTAAATATTTGCAAAATTGCGAGCGAATTCATTATTATTAATTATGTCGTGTAACGGATTTCCTTATTTATTAATACAAAAAAAAGATTGAACATTTGCCGTGTCACGATTTCCTTCCAAAACCCGCAAGTCGTGTGACTTTTGTGCAAGTTTTTTGCCGATTGTCTCTTTTTACGTCTAGCCGTGCCTGTTTTTGGCGCGATCAACGTTTTCACAAAATTTGTAATTTTTGCTTTAGCAATTGCAACAAGAACATTTTTGTCTACCTTTAAACAATCAAAATTGAAGGACCGTATATATATTTACCGAATCCCAGGAGGATTCTGTTCATCGTCACATAAATCTGTCCTGTGGCAAACATACCTTTGTAGTAACGTGAGGCTCTGTGACTTGTGAATGGTAAGCGCGAATGCATTCTGGATCGGGAACAGACTTCTCGAAGCTCAGGTACCATTGATGTCGAGATATGAAACGGTTTTTTGAACATTAATCTTTATTATGTTGTCATTTGTAGAAATGGTAAATTCAACATTATTGTCATCAACAACTTTTGACGATCACACCAATGGTTCCATTACATATGTCATGTACTTATATTTTCACTATAATTAAACTATTTGTTCGTAGGAAAGTGTTTAATTTGTTTTTTGAAGTAATTCTCCACAAATTTTTTACAAGAAGCTTGACTCAACGCAACAGAGTTTTGTGAAATACAAATTAGTATTAGCCAATCAGAATTCTGCACCCAAGTAAGCCATTCAAAATTAATTTTTATTCTTTCAATCGATACATTGAAAGATTTTTTTAAACGAACGATCAATAAATCTATAATAATAATATTTCAGGCCCTGATAATCAATTAATTAAATTTAAATTAGAAAAATAATGGCGTTGTCGGCATCGTTTACTCTGAACACTTTGTAATTTACCTCCACGTATTCTTGATCTTCCACATGACACAGTCACTATGCGTGTTCTGCTGACTGACTTCATGAATATGATTGGTGATAAAATGGATGACATCGTTGGTTTTTTTGGTATACTAGACAAAAGGCAAGCAAGCAAAGTATGTTCAAGAGGCAAACTTATTTACCTTTTGAATAAATCAAAGAAATTATTTTAATGCTAGACAAAAAGCAAGCGAGTAAAAAAAATTCGAGCGGCAAATTTGCTTGTTTTATTTATTCATTTATTTATTCATCCAAGGTCAATCGGATGGATCAATTGGAAAAAAACAAAATTTTTGATGGATTTTATTTATTTTCTCCGAAAGGAAATTTTTTCTTATTCAGCCATCCACCACCCCTCAAACGGTCAAGATCAAAAAAAAAAAAAATACCTGAAAAAATCATCCATTATCCTTTAAATAATCAATAATCGAAGAATTATTAAAAATTGACAATATAAAAAAGTCTTTTTGAATCCCGGTCTCGTGCCCAGTTAACATTGATACTAACGTGTTGCGTGACAAGCCTTTGACGATCTGAGATAAAGGTTCCAAGTCAAAACCATAAGTTTTTGGTCATTTTGAATGATTCGAAACGTCAGAGCAAGATGAAAACCTAATGGGCAGACATCGCACAAAAAACATCTAAGGCGAAACACAATTTTCTTTTCAGCCAAGTATCTGTTTCGCTCAATCCTGACGTTTTGGACCATAAACAGATAAGTTTTTCAGTTGCAAAAACATGACAAATAGAAAGCAATTAGGATTCGTATGTGTCCTATGTTTTAAATATAGTTTATATGTGATTAAAACTTTATTTTGAAGTTTTCTTATTGGCAGTTGTCGCAATTTAAATTTTTGCTGTTTTCGCACAAGAGTAGTATAATAATAAATATTTAAAGGACAATAGCAAATGAAAATATTTATTGTATAATTAAACCAAATATTTTTGTTTACTCATATTAAAAAAAAAAAAAATTTTTGATTCTTTTTGTCTTGGTGGAAATTTGAAATGTTACACTAATTTTTTATATCGTGCAATGTAACTTTACAATACACGGCAAACATTCTGGCAATAAAAAGTAAGTGATAAACTGGATTTTGAATCGGATCTGAACTTGATCTCCAATTTAGAGAGGTAACAACTATATATATTCAGGAGCAATGGGTTCTCTATAACATTTCGCGTAACAAAAAACTTTCACTATGCCATCTAACCCCTTGCAATAATATATTACCGCTATATAAATCACAATGAATTAGATCTATAAAATATAATGAATGAATGGTTCATAAAAATCCGATATATATAATCTCTTAAATTTCCCTCTTCACATAAATAGCATAATTTCCATTTTTTGGGAATTTGGTTATACCATGACAATTGACAGCTGAGACTGATTTATTTTACAATAATCCAATGCCTGAAATTAATTATATAAATAAAATTCCATTAATTTGGTTTATTTTAAATAAGATCAATTACCTCATCAAAGAAAGGTTTTCCTGGATTATTTGAATCATTTAAATGATTTTAATACTACAGTCTGACTGCAAAATAATTAAACTCATTTTTTATTCTTGCCATAATTATCAATTCCACCACATAGCAGTATAAATAGAACTGAATCCACCTTCTGTTAATTTTCCTACATCATAAAATTGCTCATAAGGTATCCATTCTTAAATTCTATTTGGAAGAGATGAAAGTTGTTGTTTTACAATTATTGCATTCTCTTGATTCACCAAGTTTATGAATTGCATTCATTAATTCAAAATCATAAATAAGCTTTTCTTTACAAAATTCATTTTCATTTTCTAACTGTTCTTTGTTTTCTTTGACTAATTGTAAAAAATAACTTTTTCTATTTTCATTATCAGAATTAGAATTAGTTGGAAAAACAGAATAAGCAATAAGATTCATTTCGTTATGATTTTAAGTACTATCCCTTTTCTGTGTTAATAACTTAATGAAGGACATTTTAACATTTTTAATTTCTTTTTTGTGGTATTTTATTTTTAATTTGCAAATCAAAAATTATTAAATTTTTTTGTATTCCTTTAGCATTATAGATGCTTAAATTTCTCTTTCATAATTTTCACATTCCTAATCATTTGGAATCTTGGAAATTTTCTTAATTATAAATGAGTGTGCTAGACTGGAATGAAAGCAAAAAAAGAATCCAAATGCAAATTTCATAACAAAATCTTTTACACTTTGACATGTTTTTTTCCTTGTTTTATTTAAAATATTTGATTTCAAATTCAGTCAAACTTTCTTATCCATCCTCACCATCTTTATCCCTTGATTTTGGACTTTAAATGATGAATTAGTAATCAATCATCTGGAATACAACAATACAATCAACTTCAAGAAGAATTTATGAAAAATGAAATGTAGTATTGTTCATTTCACATTTAACATTTTAACATCAGGAAAATTATTCTGAATTGAAGAAATCAATCAAATTTATATTTGAATAATAAATATAAAAGATAACAAAAATAATTAATTATCTAACCATCAACAATACACCTAATTCTCCAACTTAACTACTTTAATCATATTTAAATTAATTAATTAACCAACTATTTAAATTTCATAATTTAATAAGCTATCATTACTTAAATTCAATTTAGCAAATTCATCATTTAATATTCTACTTGTATGATATGCTAATGGATGTGATTTGTGTACTTGTTGTGAATCACTACTAATACTAATAATGCTATTATTATCATGATTATTATTGATAATTTCTTTTTGTTGATTATCAGCAAATTTACGAAGTTCTCCAATAGTTGGTCTCTTGGCTGCATCCACATCCCAACACCTTTGCATCATTTGTGCATAATCACTAGGCATTCCTGGTAATATTGGTGGTCATAAACCTGCACATATATTAGACATTAAGTCACGATTATGAGCTCTATCATCAAATGGTGGATGACCTGCAAATATTTCCCACATTAACATCCCAACACTATAGATATTTGTTTCTTTTGTGTATTTTTTTCCTTTAAATAGTTCTGGTGCAATATAAGATACAATTCCATAAATTTTATTTGATGATTCTTCATCAACTGGTCCACATAATCCTAAATCTGTGATATAACATTCACCCTGAAATAATATATTACCACTATGTAAATCACAATGAATTAAATCTTTTTCATGTATAAAATATAATGCTTCACATAAACCCCTAAAAATATTAATTCTATCTTTTAATGTTAAATTATAATGATTTTTTTGTATATAATCTCTTAAATTTCCATCTAATACATAAGTAAGCACCATTGCATAATTTCCATTTTCTGGGAATTTAGTTATACCATCACAAGAAACAATTGAGTTTGATTTAATTTTACAATAATTCAATGCCTGAAATCAATTATATAAATAAAATTAATTAATTTAAAATAAATGGTTTATTTTAAATAAGATCAATTACCTCATCAAAAAAAGCTTTTCCTGGATTACCTGAATTATTTAATGATTTTAATACTACAAGATGAGTCCCAAAATAATTAAACTCCTTTTATTTTCATCATAATCATAAATATCTCCTCTTGTCCATGTAGCAGTATAAATAGAACTGAATCCACCTTCTGTTAGTTTTTCTACATCATAAAATTGTTCATGAGGTATCCATTCTATAATTATAGCTGGAAGAGATGAAAGCTGCTGACATTTTTGAATAAAACCATCAATTATCTCATTGCCAGATGTCCAAGTACTGAAAAGGCTCTGTAAGTGTAGACTAATACACTTTTCACAAAATTTATCAGAGTATCTTGTTGTTTTACAATTATTGCATTCTCTTGGTTCACCATATTTATGAATTGCATTTTTTAATTCGAAATTATAAATAAACTCTTCTCTACAATATTTCTTTTCATTTTCTGATAGTTTTTGGTTTTCTTTGACTAATTGTAAAAAATAACTTATTCTATTTTCTCAGAATTAGAAGTAGTTGGAAAAGCAGAATGAGCAATACCATTCATTTCATTAAAAATTTTATATACTAAATTTTCTCTGCCTGGTGTTAATAACTTTTTGAAGGACATTTTAACTTTTTAATATTTATATTTTTAAAAAAAAAATTTCTTTTTTGTATTTCTTGCAAATCGAAATTTACCCAATTGTTTCTCAATTTCATTCGGAGTCTTGGGAATTTCCTTAATTAATACAGTATAAATGAGTGAATAAAAAAAAAAAAGTAAATCCGAATGCAAATTTCATAACAAAATCTTTTACACTTTGACACGTTTTTTAGATTGTTTCATTTAAAATACTTTGATTTCAAATTCAATTAAAACTTTATATTATCCATCCTCGCCATCTTCATCCCTTGATTTCGGACTTTAAATGATGAATTGGTAATCAATCACCCTGGGACACAACAATACAATCAACTTCAAGAAGAATTTATGACAAACGAAATGTAATATTGTTCATTTTACATTTAACATTTACTCTGAATTGGAAAATTTATTTTTGAATAAAAACAAAAATAAATTTAAAAGATAATAAAAAATAATTATCTACCCATCAACAATTCTCCGACTCTAACCTATCAACTAAATCATATTTAAATTAATTATTTCATAATTTAATAAGCTATCATTACTTAAATTCAATTTAGCAAATTCGTCATTTAATATTCTACTTGTATGATATGCTAATGGATGCGATTTGTTGTGAATTACTATTATTACTATTTTTTTATCCCGACCCAATCTTTTTTATTAAACGATGTTGAATAGAAATTACAAGAAAAATTTACTATTTTTTTTTTCGGGTATATCTTCTTTACCTTTGTAGGAATCGCTTTCCTTGTTAAAAAAGGTGTGATCTTTCTTTGATTACTTGTTGAGCTAAAAACATGACGTATTAAATTAGAAGTTTTTCTTTTGAACAAAATAACCACAAAACTTATCATCTTTATCAAAAACTTCAGTAAATCATCACTTTCCACCAATTTTATCTTTAATAACAATTCTACAGCTAGTAGTTTTGATAATATTTGGCATTCAAGTTATTGATTCGAAAAAGTGTGTGCGCATATATATGCAATTTTTGTTTAAAAGTACGCCCGACTTTTGTCCATATAGTGTTTTTATAGATTCTTTAATTGTTATAATAAATAATTTTCGCAACTTAGGTCCACCAAATTATACAAAATTACACAATATTTCGTTATTTTTCAACCCTCCTTGGCACACTCAATCAATTTATTAAGAGATCATTTGTGATAATTTCAATATATTTTTGAATAGTGCAAGTCACTACTTTTTCAATGAACATTAACAATTTTAGTTATTTTATGGTTCGGTACATTATTTTATGACTTCACCATGTTTTTGACTTTCAGTTGAATTTATTCAAAATTTATTAAAAATGATGATTGTTTATAAAAAGATTCAAAACAGCATAGCTGATAAATACTCATTCAAATCATTTCCTATCAATTGTCAAAAAACTCAGAATGGTTTTTTGCTCAATTAATTTGGGAAAATATCGTCGAATAAATTTTTTATTTCTTTAATTGTTAGTGAGCCCGACTTTGTCCATGTAGTGTATATATTCTAATTTTTTTTCTTTCCCAAGCAATTATTAGGTTAAGTTTGGATCTAAATTACAAGGACCCGACCCGCAGTTATTTGGCGTTAAAGATCAAATCTCTACTAGGATGGAATTCCACCGTTATCAAAACAAACAAAACATCAGCCGTAATGTAAATCATTGACATAAAACTAATAAATCCAAGATAATTTATAATTCAAATACTACGGATATTCCTATCAATTATTACTATTACACTAATTACATAAATACGTCAATAATAATAATAATAAATATAGTAACACATGAATTAACGTTTCAGGAAGCCATGCTTTAGTGACATCGGATGTAAGTAGTACTCAAGAGTTGCCGGTGTTCAAGTTCAAATTTTCTTTATTGATTGGTTGCTTTAAATTTCACACGTCAATTTAAAAAAAGGAATTCTAATAATGTCTGGAGATATAGCCTAAAATTTGTCTCGGCAGCTTAGTAATATATAAGTCTAGTTGATAGTGTTATTGCCGATGAATATAAATATTAATATGATGATGTTATTCAAAGAATTTATAATTAAAAATTCGGGATACAAAATCATGAATTTGATCGATGATAAAGATGATAAAACACTGATTATAGACATAGACAAAAAAAATATAGTATTTATTTACTTACTAA